CGCCACTTCCGGCTTTTTTCTTTTTGCTTATGTGGTGCTGAGGAATCGAACCCAGGGCCTCATGCTTGCAAGGCAAGCGCTCTACCACTGAGCCGCCTTCCCAGCCCTCAACCCATATCCTTATTTCAGCATTTTGTTATTTCCCTTCCCCTCCCCAAATTATAAAAAATGTATATGCAAGACGCAGGGCTTATTCTTTTTTTGGTTGGGTGCTTGTTTCTAGGCTTTGAACTCGAGGCTTGGTCACTGTTGCTGTTTTGCTTAAGGCTAGGACTCCAGTGCTTAAGCCACAGACCCACTTCTGGCTTTCTGATGGTTATTAGAGATGAGAATCTTACAGACTTTGCGGCTTGAACTAGCTTTGAACCACAATCCTCAGGTCTCGGTCTTCTAAGTTGCTAGTATTACATGTATGAGCCACCAGCACCCAGCTTTTTATTTCATTTTATTTCTTGGCATGGATGACTTAGATTTTGATCCAAAAGTAGAATGCAATTTTTTTATGAAATATAATTTTGTCTTATAGGAAGCAGAATCTGGTAACATTAGTCAAAAGTCTGATGAAGAAGATTTTGTGAAAGTTGAAGATTTGCCACTCAAACTGACAATATATTCAGAGGTATTTGGCTCTCTTTAATTAAAAACATTTCACCGGTGCCAGTGGCTCACACCTGTAATCCTAGCTACTCAGGAGACTGAGATCTGAGGGTCTTGGTTTAAAGCCAGTCTGGGCAGGAAAGTCTGTGAGACTCTTCCCTCCAGTTAACCACCAGAAAACTGGAAGTGGCACTGTAGCTCAAGAGGTAGAGTACTCACCTTGAGCTGAAATGCTCAGGAACAGTGTGCCCCAGGCCCACAGTTCAAGCCCCACAAAACAAAAAAAAAAAAAACCTGACAAAAAAACCTCAAAACTTAACTTTCATATAACAAATATGATTGAGATGAAAAATGATTGGTATTTTTATTTTTCATTCCAAAGGCAGATCTCAGGAAGAAAATGGTAGAAGAACAACAGAGAAACCATTTGTCTGATGAAATATGTGAAATGCAGACTGAAGAATTAGCTGGAAATTCTCAGAAACTGAAAGAACCTGGTAAAGTTATCCATTAATTTTATACTTAAAAATTACATAATCATGATGCTGTCTTGGTTTCATCTTCAAATGTGCTAATAGTACTTACAGGATTGTAAGCCTACTATTAGAAAGGAAGTGTTCTATAAAGAAAAATTTAGTTTAGATCTTTGAGATTCAAAACATTATCAGAATTTTTTAAATTATACCTGTCCTAGGGCTTCAACTCAGGCCCTACACACTGTCCTTGAGCTTTTATGTTCAAGGCTAGTGTTATACCACTTGAGTCGCATCCCCCTTCTGGATTTTGGGAGGGGGGTGGTATCTGATTGAAGATTAATTAATTGGAATCCTATGGGCTTTCCTGCCCATGCTTGCTTTGAACTGCAATCCTTAGATCTCAGCCTCCTGAGTGATAGTCAGATAAGTATCTTTTGTTTTAGAAAATAAATTTGTATAAAGTTTAAGGAAGGTATATGAGAGTTAATGGTCAGTATCAAAACCTGTTTCTTTTAATTACTAGATTTCCTTCCTTTCTTTCCTTCTTTCTTTTTATCAGTCCTGAGTCTTGAACTCAGGGCCTGCGCTCCTTGTGCTCGTGGCTAGCACTCTACCACTTGAGCCACAATGCCACTTCTGGCTTTTTCTGTTTATGTAGTACTGAGGAATTGAACCCAGAGTTTTATGTATCTTAGGCAAGCACCCTACACTAAGCCACATTCATTTCTAGGCCTGGATTTCATTACTTTAGAGTGATTTTTGTTGTACTATTTTATATTTGGTGTTTTAAATTTCTCTCATTTTCCCTGTAACAAATACGGATTAAGTCCTTTCTCAGTGTCATATTGATTTTATTTTCTGTTTTTTACTTGAAATAATGTACATTATCTGTAAACTACTAAGGTTATTATACATACGTGTTGCTTTTTGTGTCTACAATACTTATCTTAAATTTGTTGTAAAGTCAGATGACAGGGGGTGTGGGGAGGTAGGTCGGTCTTGAGGCTTGACACTGTCTCTGAGCTCTTCAGCTCTAGCACTTGAGCCACAGCACCACTTCCAGTTGTCTGGTGTTTAATTGGAGATAAGAGTCTCACAGGGACTTTCCTACCTTTGAACTGGGCTTTGAACTGCGCTTCTCAGATCTCAGCCTCCGGAGTAGCTAGGATTACAAGGTGTGAGCTACCAGCTCCAGGTCTCCATATTTCCTTCTTTATCTATGTAATAGCACAACCTCTGAGCCACTCAGAGAATGTTTTTCTTATTTTCTATCAACTCATCAATTGGGTAAAAAAATATATGATTTAGACCATTTTAGATAAGACTTTCTGTACTGCCCTAGTTTTTAGCTAACCTGCTGCCAGCTCAGGGCCTGGGTGCTATCCCTTTTTTATTCAAGGCTGGTGTTGTACCATAGCTCCACTTCTGGCTTTTTCCTAAAGATAAGGGTCAAACGGACTTTCCAGCCTGGGATAGCTTCTAATTGCCATCCTCAGACCTAAGCTTACTGTGATTACAGGCATGAGCCACCAGTTCTTGCCTTTATCTGTGTTCATTTAATCATTTTTATTTGCAATTTTCCTTTTTTATTACTCTCTTTAAGTAGGAGTTGCCATTTATTAAAGCAGTTTATGAATGCAATTGGCAGTCTCCATTTTTTTTTTTTTTTCTATTTAGGTTTATGGACAGACAAGAATCTGTAAGCCAGGTGCCGGTGGCTCACTCTTGTAATCCTAGCTACTCAGGAGTCTGAGATCTGAGAATGGTGGTTCAAAGGAGCTCAGGGACAGTCAGGGACAGCACCCAAGCTGAGAGTTAAAACCCCATGATCAACAAAAGAAGAACAAGAATCTGCAGTGGGCATTGGTGGCTCACACCCATAATAATCCTAGCTGTCCATGAGGCTGAGATCTGAGGATTGTGATTTAAAGCCAGCCCAGGCAGGGATGTCTGTGAGATTTCATATTCTCCAATTAGCACCAAAAAACAGTCAGAAATGGATCTGTGTCTCAACTGATGAGCATTAGCCTTAAACAAAAAAACTCAGGCACAGTGCCCAGGCCTACGTTCCAGTCTAGGACTTCTAGTACCTGCACACGCGCGCGCACACACACACACAATGCTGTTTGCCATCATGAAATAGAAATGCTTACTTATTCTCCTTTACTGTATATTATCTAAGTTAGGATTTCCTTTAAGTAAAAGTTTGGAAGAAAATAATGTTTAAACTCTGTGCTGGACGCTGGTGGCTTACACCTGTAATTCTAGCTACTCAGGAGGCTGAGATCTGAGGATCACGGTTCAAAACCAGCCCAGGCAGGAAAGTCCGTGAAACAATTTTCTCCTAAAAAACCGGAAGTGGCGCTGTGGCTCAAGCTGAAGAGTGCAGGGACAGCCCAGAATTCAAGCCCTACCACTGACAAAATACATAAATAGATAAATAAATAAACTTTGTAAATAAATAAGTAATTTAAACATTTTTATTCTGTTTTTCAGAAACAGTGGGAATCCAGAACATATAAGATGACACCAGAGACTCTTCTCTCTTTTTACGTAGTTCAGTGAATACATGAAAAATGATACTAAATAAACATCAGTTCTGATCTGTATAAAAATGTAAATTAGTTTGACACTGCATTTTTTGATAGGTGTGCTAATTTCTGCCCATGGCAGTTTAAGACATCAGAAACTGAATCCTGGACCGATTCAAGCATTGATACACTGTGTTTGGTTTTTTTCTTTGTGGTCTTGATTTTTCTCATTGTGATGTTTGGTAACATTAAATTTAAAATGTAGTTTTAAATAAAGTTTGACTTATCTGTAAAGTAACTTTTTTGGAAATTATGTTGAATTCTATACTGCAAATTGCTGTCATATATATATATGTATATATATTACACACGTATGTATACACACACACACAGTTTTGGGCTATCCAGAGAAAGCAAAAGTTAAGAATTAGGAAAATATTTATCCCAAAGTCAGTCATTCAAATAATGCCAGTGTTGCTTCTGTTGGGTCAAATATTTTCCCAGCTACCTGTTGAACCTCTGTACAAATAGGGTAAGTAAGTTGTAAAGGTAACCAGGCGTATTTGTAAAGTTATCATTAATTATACGTTAATAATCCTTATAAATTGCTTAAAAACATGTCCTTGGCACCTAGAGCTTTCTTAATTATTATGAATATTTTTCAGAATTTCAAATCCCTAATTGTGTTGTCTCAGTCTAAAAAATAATTAGCTTTTATGTAGTTAGCAAGTGTTATTTCTACATAAATAACATTCTGATTAGTATTAAGAAAAACCTCTTTCAGAATAGAATTGAACTTATGTTAACAAAAAAATTTGTATGTCAAGTTTAAAGCCAAAGCATAGTAGCTACTGTTATCCAGTAGCTGATTATGTGTGTAGTGAGGGAGAAGCAATTCACAGATGATGTATTGACTATTGGGTAAGAAAGTATTGCATAAACAGTGAGATGTGCCTTTTTATCCCATGCCTGTGTATAGGCCCAGTTAGGCATCAGAGCACCAATTAATGAAGAAGTCAGTCTTACAGTTTTTCCTTGAGCAAAGCAAGAATATATGAAGAATTCTTAGCGTTAAGTAGTCTTTTAAATTTGTTACATTGTATAAAATACTTCATACAAAAGAACTTACATGGTATTCCTTAAAATTCTTCCTTGTTTGAGACATTAGTTGAAACTACAAAGGTCCAGTCAGGAAATGGTGAATGAAGATTGCCCTATGAGGACATTAGTTATGTTGATACGTAATCTTAAAACATACAAAGCATGTGTCTCCAGTTTTCATAAAATCTATTTGGAAAATTACAAATCCCAAACCAGGAATTTTTACCCAGTTGAACATGGGATAGTAATTTTTATTTTATGTAGAGGCAACTTTTAGACTTTCTAGATTCTAAGCAAAAAAGAGCATAATTAATTTTAGTACTCAAGCATGCCAGTACTCAAGCCATACCTTTACATCACCCATCCTACTTCCATGCACATTAAAGATACAAAGGTGGGGCACTGTGGTACATTCAGACAGGAGACTGAGGCAGAAAGATTGTGAGTTGTAGGCCACTCTGGCTATCTACTGCCTTTGAAGCCAACAAAGGGTGGTATAGAGTAAAAACCTGTCTCCAAAACAAAACAGAAGATAGACCCAATAGAAAGGTTTTATTCAGTACAGTATTGCAGTATGTAATAATTATGATCCTTATTAAAATAGCTTATTTGACTTATGTTGTAGCTGTTCTCTAAGTCTGTTGTTTTTCTGTTTAGTGGATGATTTTGTTATACCAGATAGCTTGTTTAATATGTTTTAGTAAACTATTGCTAAAAGGTATGACATTAAATATTCCTACTTTCAATATGTAAGTTAAAATTTTGGCTAAGATAGAAGGAGCAAAGGTAAATATGAATGAGCTTAAACTCCTATACAGATTGAGATAATGCCAGGACCTAGCCAGGCTATGGAGGAACTTTGTATTTTGTAATATTTCCTTTGGCTAAATGCTTTTTTGTTGTTAATAAATGTGTATCCTACATACAACCCTGAATTGCATGTTTATTTAAGTTGACACTGCAGAATTGACAGTTTTTAATGTAAGAAAAATTAGGGACATTCCATAATCTGTAAACGTTAGATATGGTTTAATTAAGTCAATGTGAGTAGGGGGGGAAAATGAGAATGAGACTTGGAAGAAACTTACATTCAGGTCTCAGGAAAGGTGTCAGCACATGGCACATAGGATGGGTAGGGGACCTCTAAACTGTTGATTAGAAGGCAGAAACCAGGAGAAAGCCTAGCTAGAGAGCCTTCGTTGAGGTTTCCTGGAATAACGTAAACCAGGAAAACACTGAGGGGCAAGAGGTAGATGGTTGGGCCTATAGACTAGGAATTGCTTGGTTTGCATGTGTTGAAAGACTGTTCTAGCCTAACCTTTGCTGTTTCTAAGAAAGCTAGAAGTTTGTGCAGAATGGGTGTTTCCTGACCAATAAATAAGCTTTTTACAGCATCAGAAAGCATAGTTAATATATAATACAGAAAACATTTTATTTCCTCAAAAATACATGTTTTGTGTCCAACCTACTTTGGTACATAAACAGTTCACCTGTCAAAGGGGTATTGGCCCTGGATTTCACTTTCTTTACAAATAAAATTGCTTGTAACTAGTCACCTTGACTTGGAGAGCCAGTGTGACTTGTTTTGGTGGCTGTGCAACTGTGATTGTTACTCATACTTCTTGTATTTACATGTTTGTCTGATTCAGCTATCCCTGAACGGATCAGCTTGTGGAAAAGTGAAGCTCTATGCCTGCAAGTGACTGTGATGTTCACAAATTGGACCAGCAACTTTCATAGTCCTTTATTTTAAAAACTTGATACCAGCATAAACTTTCTACACCAGAAAGTCTTATTCTCTTATACTAAGTGTAGATATTTTATCATCTCCATATCACATTTTTTTTGGGGGGGGGTTCCTTTCCGTAGTCTGGAGAGCCTTCACTATAACATCTGAGATGTCATTCTCCCTTGGTGTTAGTTTTGCTATCTCTGCTTTTCCAGTGCCTTGCTCTTACTACTTTCAAAAAGGTTTGACAAAACAGATTTTAAGTAAGAGAATTAGCATTTCAAGTAGTTTTTTTAATTAAAAATTTCAGACTTACTTTTAGTAATATACAAATGTTCTTTTTATATACAAGAGTTCAGTAGATAAATAATTTAAAAAAACATTTTGTGGGATTTGGGTTTTGTTTGTTTGTTTGTTTTGGCAGTTGTGGGGCTTGAACTCAGGGCCTGGGCACTGTCCTGAGCTCTTCTGGTCAAGGTTAGTGCTCTACCACTTTGAGCCACAGCTCCACTTCCAGTGTTGGCATGGTTAATTGGAGATAAAGGTCTCAGGGAGACTTCTGCCCAGCTAGCTTTGAACCACAATCCTTAGGTCTCATCCTCTTGAATAGTTTAGGATTATAGTGGTGAGCCACCAGCATCTGGCACACTGTGTTTTATCATTGGATTATATTGCATTTGGGCTTAAGTTTTTAGTAATATATCAGCAAGGCCTGTTTTAGGGTGTCCATTTTCATAATGAAAAGGCTAGTCTTTTGTAGCCTGATGATCTGTCTAGATTTTCATGTAAAAGATTTCTCAGTATTTGTCAGAATTCAAACATTCAGATTAGGGTGTAAGATGTGGTGGTACACACCTACAATCCCAGCTACTCAGGAGGCAGAGTTGGTCAGATATTCTAGGCCAAAGTTCTAGACAAAGTTAGCATTGAGTTCCTATCTGAAAACTAAAAAAATGGACTGAGGAAAATAGCTCAAGTGGTATTGTGCTTGCCTAGCAAGCAGGAGAGCCTGAGTTTAATCCCATCTACCCCTGAAATGTTAGCTCAATAACGGCAGCCCTTGGAATTTGGTGTTTGTGTATCAGTTGAATTGAATAAATGTGGAGAATATTCCAAAGAGAGATTTAAAGTCTTTGTTGTTTTTCATTGGACATGTCTTTAGCAGATACAGTCTTTTCTACTTAGGCAGTTTTGATAAGAGCAGTGCAAAGTCCTGGACATTTTAGTGAGAAATAGGATCAATGTTATTTTTCTAGAAACCATTAGTGGAATGTTTTGTTTTTGGTGCTAGTGCCCTAGTGCTTGAGCCACAGCTCCACTTCTGACTTTTGGTAGTATGTTGGAGGTAAGAGTTTCTCCTACCCTAGCTGGCTTTGAATTTCCATCCTCAGATCTCAGCCTTCTGAATTAGCTGGGGTTATAGGTGCCCATCATTAGTAGGTATTCTTAAAAACCTGATCTTTTTGAAAGATCTCACAATAATTAGTTTGTTGGGTTTTTTGTTGTTGTTAGTTCTGGGGCTTGAACTCTGGGCCTGTGCGCTGTCCCTGAGCTCTTCAGCTCAAGGTGAGTGCTCTACCACTTGCGCCACAGCACCACTTTCAGTTTTCTGGAGGTTAATTGGAGATAAGAGTCATATGGACTTTACTGCCTGGGCTGGCTTTGAATCACGATCCTTAGATCTCAGCCTCTGGAGTAGCTGGTATTACACGGGTGAGCCACTGGCGCCCAGCCAATAATTAGTTTTGATTCTTTTATTAGATTCATTGCAAGTTTAAAATCACTGCATATGACTTTGGAGTTGAATAGTTAAGCATTTTCATTTTTCTCAACTGCCACTTCCCTGTTTGTGATACACTATTACAAATATTCTACTTCTTTTGTCCTAGCTACTCAGGAGGCCTGAATGCAAAGGACCATGGTTCAAAGCCAGCTCAAGCAGAAACGTCTAGAAGACTCCATCTTTAAAATAACAAAAAGCTCAAGTGGTAGAGTGCCAGCAAAGCAAACATGAGGCCCCAAGTTCACATTCAGGTACTTGTTTAAAAAAACAACAACACAAATACGCTTACAGCTTTTAAGCTCCTGAAATAGTTTATTTCCTCAGTACTTTCCTATTGTTGGAGAAGGACGCTTTAGAAAATATGCTAACCAAATGGCAGCGTGGGGAGGAGCCTACAATATCAACAGACAACTTGACTCTACCACAGATACTTGCTTATAATTTGTGAGAGAATAAACACACATTTATTATTGGATAATTCCCAGAGTGGTACTTTTAAGTTTTTGAGGTTCTAGAGGAGAGTAGTTGGGGCCAGCTGGTATGAATTTTACACCAACTTATCAGTGACTCTATTTGTAATGAGGATAGGTTGTCATTGATTTGTTAGGTTTTGAAGATTTTCTCATGCCAAGTGTGAAGAGATTTTTATGGAAAACAAATCAGTGCAGCAATAGGCCCATTAAAG